ATCTAGCACCTCAACCACCAAGTCACCTGCTGGCCCCATTATTCTTATTCAAGAGACCAGGATATACAGGAACAGCAGCTGGCGTAATGGCTATGTCACTGGATTCTTATGTAGGTGACAACAGTTTTAGTCCCGGACCGAATGGCTTAAACTCACACCGGGCACATGTATGTGCATGCCCAAGATCCCCAGAGAATGGAGAAGGGATTGTGGCATGGTCATCCCCCCGGGGGGTGATTTCTTGCTTTCTCTCTCTCTGTCTTTCTGGCAAGCACATGCACCCTGTAGCAAAAACCTTTCCAAAAAAAAAAAAACCGCGAGAGAGAGAGAGAAAAAGAGATCAACAGATGATGCTGGAGAACTCTATACTGTGGCCACACTGTAAATGAATCAAGGCAGTCCAGCCTACAATCAAAGAAGGTTTCTCAACAAGCAAGGGTACTAGGAGGTTGCTGGTATAAAACAGATAAGGAGACAACTTCTGAGCAGAACTTCTCTGTAGGAATGTCGCTGGTCAGGACTCCTGAATCAGGTTTATTCATCCAGGAAGCCCACCCAGATGAGATATATGGCCCACTCTCGAGAGATATTTTATACCTGGCTGAACACCTGGGATCATATTGGGTAATCAGAAAAGTCATGACTATTTTTCTATGTTTTTCTATGCAAAAAATGCATCATGACTTTTCTGATAACCCAGTACTAGGCAGATATTGTACAAGTGTGGGATACAAGGAAGAAGGTTCTCATTCAGTACAAAATCTGACCAGCACCCGAGGCAACATAGTAGAAAGAATCCATTGGAGGATCCTCTCTGTCTCTGTCTGGTGGCATGCCCTATAGCAAATTAAAATAATAATAATAAATAAAATTAAATAAATAATTCTTATAAAGAGCTGAATAGTGCACACGCTAGGAAGACACATGTAGGGAGGAAGAGACAGACTTGCTGGGTAGCTCTGGCATTCCAGCACAAGACCATTCATGGTGTGGGGAGCTCACACAAAAGGATTGAGTGCATGGAGTCCTTGATTGAGTGGCAGTATCTTACTCCCTGTCCCCAAAATATATTAGAAAACTGTGCTAATCAAAACAGCTTAGTATTGGCACAGAAACAGCTATGTGGACCAATGGAACAGATAGAGACCCTATAAATAAACCCCAAAACATACAGCCAACTCATGTTTCACAAAGGGTAGTTAATAACAGTCAATCCAGTGGGAAAAAGAAAACCTCTTTAGCAAATGGTGATGGAAAAACTGGTTATTCACCTGTAGAAAAATTAATCTGAACCACTCTCTCTCTCACTATTAACAAAAATCAACTCAAAGTGGATCAAAGATCTAAGCCTAAGACCTATAAAACTACTGGTGGAAAACACTGGAGAAACTCTGGGAGACAATGAGGTAGGCAAAGACTTCTTAAAACCACCAAAGCACAGGCAATAATCTCAAAAATATACAAGTGGGATTACATCAGATTACATCAGATTAAGAAGTTACTGCATGGCAAAAGATACAGTAATTAGTGTGAATTGACATCCCTCAGAATGGGAGAGGATTTTTGTAAACTATACCTCAAATAAGGGACTGATAACCAGAATACACAGGGAACTCAAGTGGCTTATGAAAAATTAAAAAAAAAAAAGATGAACCCAATTAAAAGACAGAAAAAGGAGCTGAAAGACATACGAACAGCCAAAAAGCATATGAAAAAAATATTCAACATCCCTCATCATAAGGGATATGCAGATCAAAACCACAATGAGATACCACCTGACCCCAGTCAGAATGGCAAAGATTAAAAAAACAATAAATGATAAATCCTGGTGGGGATGTGGTAAAAAGGGAACCCTCGTATACTGCTGGTGGGAACTCAAATTGGTCCAGCCACTGTGAAGAACAATATGGAGGTTTCCCAAAGATCTACAAATAGATCTGCAATAGAGGCAAGACATTTATGGGACACAGAAATGGGTTACTATCTGTTAATATGTTTTGTATCCTCAACTGGATTGGTGTGAAGCATATTCACATTGGGTAAATTCAACTGACAAACAAAGTGATAATGGGAACTCAAATTTGTCCAGCCACTGTGAAGAACAATATGGAGGTTTCCCAAAGATCTACAAATAGATCTGCAATAGAGGCAAGACATTTATGGGACACAGAAATGGGTTACTATCTGTTAATATGTTTTGTATCCTCAACTGGATTGGTGTGAAGCATATTCACATTGGGTAAATTCAACTGACAAACAAAGTGATATATAGTGATTGAATGTATAAAAGATAAAAAAAAAATGTTCTCTGAGAACATAATACAGCAAATCATTTTTATACAGAAATTCCATGAAAGTTATATGAATCATCTAAAAATATTCAGAAACAAAAGAACAGTTGCAAGTTGCAGTGATTCTTTTAATGTGCAAGCTTCAGAGAGGGAATCTAAGCTAATCAACATTCTCTGAGTCAGAGTGTAGTATTTTTTCAAGACTTTTTTGTTTCTGTAGCCAATAATGAACTAAATATTCCTTAAAAATAACCAAATAAAGCTACTTTCTTTTGAGATAACTAATTTCCCTGAGGCAGAAGAATATTATCATTTTCATTCCCAGAAAGTTTAAGTTGGCTTTATCATGCCCAATCTTTGGCCTCTTTACAGTTATGTAAAATTTTAAGATAGGAGATTGCTATAATTTACTTGACTTTTCTATACAGGTGACTTCTAGAGCTACCTGCATGAGATTTTATCATATAAATCTCTTTTTAAATTTCTGATATACTACTATATTTGAGAAAGTCAATTGATTTTTCCAAAATCAGGAAATATAAGAAGTTCCAATATGCCCTTTTTCTAATAATTTTGCATTACCTTTCTTTCTTTTTTTCTTTTGATTTTTAGAAATTTTTGCTATAGGGTGTGTATACTCGCCATCAGAGATTAAGAGACAGAAAGCAAAAAATCACCCCCATAGTGGATAACCATGTTGCGATCCTTTCTCCTTCATTCTCCTCTCGGGATTTTGGGCATGCATGAGTTTTAAACTGCCAGGTCTGGGATTCAAACCAAGGTCTACTACATGGGAGTTCAGCGATGTAACCATGACACCATCTGCTGGTTCCGCCTTTCTTTCTATACCTAGGGTAACCATAAATTGCAGCTCTCCTCCCCTAGCAACAACAAAATTTTTTTCTTTTTTTTTTTTTTTGAGAGCAAGATTTTGCACTATAGGGCACGTGCACTCACCAGAGACACAAAGACAGCAAAGAGAAAGTGAGAAATCACTCTCTAAGGGGGATGGTCATGCTTCAAACCCTTCTCCTCCATTCTCCTCTCAGGATTTTCAGCATGCATACACATGCACCTGGCATGAGTTTTAAGTCACCAGATCCAGGACTTGAACCGTGGTCGACTACATGGGAGTCCAACAACGTAACCATTGTACTATCTGCTGGTCCCTTTCTAATCATTTTTAATGACATTATAAAAGAGAAATGCAACCCCAGTCCAAAAAAAAAAAAAGAAATGACAACAATTAAGTCATTGTAGTCTCTTTAACTACAATAATAAAAAGTAACTTAAAGAGTATATGAAGATTATATAAAGGATATACATTTTAATTTCTTTTTTAAAAGTACTATTTATTTTATCTATTTTTTTTTTTAATTTGCCATAAAGCATGTGTACTTACCAGAGAGAGACAAAGAGAGAGAAAGGGAGAAAGGGACAGTGAGAAAGCAAGCTACTAGGTCCAGGACTTGAACCATGGTTGGCCATGTGGGAGTCTAGTGCCTCAACCACCACACCACCTGCTGGCCCCCACATTTTCATTTTTTAAATGAATAATTGAAGCAGTTTTATAATCACAAAAAAACTAGAAAAAGTCCAAATGTTCATCATGTGGTGATGAATGAACTATGATATGTCCATACAGTGGAACACTACTCAGTAATAAAAAATATACATGATTACTGATGCACACAGTCACATGGATGAGCCGAGACCCATTATACTAAGTGAAAGAAGCCATACTTATAATGCTACATACTAGGGGCCAGCCAGTGAAGTGATGGTTAAGGCACTGGACTCCCACATGGCTGATCACGGTTTGGATCCCTGGCAGTTTGAAAATCCCATGGGGCACATGTGAGTGCATGCCCAAAATCTGGGAAGGAGAATGGAGAAGAAGGGATTATGGCATGGCCATCAGCCCTGGGGAGTGATTTCTCACTTTCCCTCTCTCTGTCTGTTTCTGGCAAGCACACGCACCCTATGGCAAAAACCTAGTAATAAATAAATTAAAAGCTACATACTAGATGATTTCATTTAAGTGATATTTTGGAAAAGAAACTATCCAGCAGAAAACAGATCAATGTTTGCTAGAGATTGGGATGAAGAAACAAATTAACTACAAGGGGCAACACGAATGAATTTGGAAAATTACAAAACTGTTTTAATTCTAATTAGTGATGAATACACATTTATCAAAACTGAACACACAAATAAAAATCTTAATACATGACTGAAGTCAGGACAAGAATAAACCTTTAAAGTTCAGCTATTAAAACCGTCAGAAATTTTGGAGATGAGTATTTCTTTCCATCACCAAATATGCTACACAATGCCAAAAAATTCAATGTGCAGCATTCAATCACACCTGGCTTTAGCCAGCCCCATACTTTTAATTACAAAATTATTTAAAAGGTAAGGAAAATATTTTTTATTTTATGTAGTACAGATTACACATGGTAGGTAACTTAAAAATATTTCTTAACTAATACACTATTCAACAGAGTTAAAACTTGGCCTTTCTATTAGGTCATAGAGAAAGTCATGACGTATTTTTCTGTTTTTCTATGCCAAAGTGAGTCATGACCTTCCCAATAACCCAATACTCACTGGTATGTACATATGCAGCTTTAACCACAGAATTACCCATTTCTCAAAATATTAACATATAACATGAAAAGAAAAGTGTTGTCCAAAAAAGGTACTAACCTGAATCTGTTCAGTTTATCAGTGAAGTCAATAATCCACTTTATCTTGAATGAAAACACTATCAGGGTCATGGATATGCCCCGTTGGCAAAAGCAGCAACCTAAGATAAACAAAAAATATATCAAATTCATCCCCACTCAAATTTAAGTTATAATTATTATCATTTTTTAAAATTCCTTCTATTTTCCCAATGTAGTCAGTCATCACATGTAAATTCACTTATTTTTATACATTTACTTATTCGGAAAGCAGTGCTTTTCAAATGCCAACAAGGGTTTTACTTTGCAAATTTATACCCAAAGTCTGTAACATTCAGTGTTTTAATTAGCTTCATAGTTCATCACCAAATAAGTCAGCACCCATAAACTCTGCTTTGTGAACATTAATTTTTGTCTATCTTTTAATATAGAGAGCAACTAGAAAAGTCTTCTTTTTTATTTTTTAAGAGAAATTTCTTCCTATAGGGCATGTGCACTTGCCAGTGAGAGGGAGAGAGAGAGACAGAAAGTGTGAAATCAGCCCCCAGTGGGGATGGTCATCCCTTCTCCTCCATTCTCCTCTCGGGATCATGGGCGCGTGCACACATACACACACACACACACACACACACACACACACACACACATTCCAGGAGTGAGTTTCAAGCCTCCAGGTCTGGGATTTGAAACAAAATCGACTATGTAGGTGTCTAGCAACATAACCATTATGCCATCTGCTGGTCCCAAAAGTCTTTCTTTTTAAACTAAGGTTCAAAATCTTCTACATACCTCACACTCTGATTGGCTCTACAACCTAGTTTCTTACTATCATCTACACAAGCTTCCACTCCAGTTAATATAATTTGTTTGTTTTCCATAGAATAATGTTTTTATTCTTAGCTCTCACTCTGTAATACACCATTCCTCCTTTTTAAAACAGAGACTGTTTCTATCTCTTTGTCAATCAACACACTCATCAACTTTCTCAAAACCCAGTCCCTCCATATCTCCCTGTCTGAGAACTGATTCTATATTCCCTTAATAGCTAGGCTATTTCTTTGCCTTCATCTATCTCTATCTCTATTTCTATTTCATGTAGTATTCTGATTAGGGACCCTATAATCTACTTGTTTTGTTGCCACCTCTCTATGAACTACCATGTTTGCACACAGTAAGTAAGATGATTAAACAGCAAGTGAAATGGTACTTTAAAAAATTCACACAACAAATATAGAGTAAGTACTATAAAAGTCAGTACAAAAATTCAAAAATAATATAAAGGCAAAATATATCCTAAGGAAATAGTGGGTTGTCAAAAAAAATTATAATGCATTTTTACATTTAAAAAAATACATCATGACTTCTACAACTCAGTTTATCTTTCTGACAGTTACTTTTACTGTTGTGCTTAAACCAATTTTAGGCAATTAGAACTAATACTCAGGGGCTTCAAAAAAGTACATAGAAAATTCATGTTATGAAAAAACTATGTACAGATTTAAAATAAATTATGCCAAAATAAACTTGTACTTTAATTCCACATGTCCAAAATCATGTAAACCCACCTCATATAGATGCACCATCGACAATTTAAATTCCTCTACCACGAAGGTAATCCAATTATTTTCAATTTAAATCCAAAGAGTCAAAAATCTGCTTTGAGGCAGAACAGTCTATAAGCCCATTCAATAAATTACTCTAAACCCCAAACAATAAACATATTTGTATAGTGCTTTTGTATTACATTATCTCACCTGACAGATTCACTGAAAGAAGACAAACCATTATGAAGTCCACTATTCACAAGACTCACAGTCATGCCATTAAGTCTGAAATCAGCCAAGGTTCATGATTTTTTCTCCTGTAATTTCACCCATAAGTCTTTGCCCATCCCCCACAATAATCCATTACTATGGAAATTATTCCTCCAGCCATTATGGAATAACTGATATCAAATCTACCCTCAGATGGTAAACAACTACAAAACTAGAAAACATATATGCCATAACAGTTTTCAGATACTGAACAATTAGTGTAGATCTGTGTTTCTCTGGAAAAACAAAATAAAACAAAGCAAAACAAAACAGCAAACTAGATACGCTTGGCTTTTTTTCCAGGAAAAATTTTAGACACCACCATAGGCAGGGAGACTCAAAGCAGAACACAGCAGTCTTAAAGAGACAAAGATCAGGGCTCAAAACAATGGAAGTAGAAAGAATTACTGGAATCGTGTGCCAGAAAGGAGGAAGTTAAACAGAAAAAAGCCACAGACATCTATATGAGGCCTACTTGCATCTTCAACTTAATACTAATCTACACACACTTAGGATGAAATTCCATGACATCAGAGGGGAAAACAAACAAACAAAACAAAACTGGCAGAAGTTGAACAACTCGGAGTTGACACTGATCTAGAAGGCATTTGAGGACCACCAGCCACCGTAGAGACTTCATCTACACTCTATGCAGTAACTAGGGACCTCAGAAGGGCTAAATTAGTGCTAGAATAAGGACTACCCTATAATAATTCCAATGGAGCTTAATAACAACCTTAAAGGAAAAATAAAATCTTCAACTAAACACTTGCAACCACCAGCCAGAATGGAAAATCTCATAACTCATGGGAAATCACGTAAAGTATTCAGAAGGGTTTTGGATTACAAGCAATACCTGAAATAAAAAGAGAGAAAAAAAAAATCAAAACTTTCTAAATAACTTAAGTATATCCCAGAAAAATATTTCAAGAATATTTATAGGAATACAAAAATATTCAGCACCCAACAAGGTAAAATTCATAATGTCTTCTTTTACATTCCTGGTAAATACCATTTGATTACCAAATTGGTTTTAAAAATTTTAAAAGAAACTAGAGCTATAATGAAGAGAAATATCTATTAAAACAATCAAAAAAATGACAAAGCTTATAAAATAAGGCTAAGACATTAAAAGTTATTATATGTATTCCAGAAGCCAATATATATATTAAATACCTTAATTAAAGACTCAACAACTAAAAATAAAAACTGGAATGTTAGAGATTCTACAAACAATTGGTGAATTATGAAGTTTTCTACTCTATTAGAGGATTCAGGATCTATTCCTGGCTGTATGAGTTCTGAGTATTGTACTGTTCTCTCAGTTCTTTTGGGTGATTCTCCCCTCTGCTCCCCAGCAGACCCCAGCCTCAAGTAGTTTCCTCCCAGGCCTGTACTAAGCAGCACTTACATGAATTCTTGAAAGCAAGCTATTTAGATCTACTAAGTTCTTTTTGGTCTCTTGAAACTCTTTCCTCACTGGTACTCTGTCCTGTGAACTCCAGTCTCCCAGTTCCATCTCAGTCCCTCAGGATCTCTAAGACTTCTACCTTCTACAGCCTCCTCGCTCATGCCTGAAAACCCTCCAGGCAAGGCTCACCTAATTCGTTTCCTGTCTCTCAGGGATCAGCGTCTTTTGCTTATTGACAGCAAATGTCTTGAGAATTTTTGTTTCATAATTTTGTCTAGTCCTTTGTTTAAGGCAGAAGAGTAACAATCTCTATTAGTTCATTTTGACAGGAAGGGGGACTATGAGCAAAATTAACTGTGATAACACTGAACGCTGAAATTCTAAAAAAAAAAAACTGAATATAGATAATGTATACAACAGTAAAAGAGGATTTATATGAAGACAAAGAAAATTTACAAGAAACTAAAAGCATATAATTGCATAATATATGGCAGAAAAAAAGTTTAACTGTGTAAGTAAAATAAGCAAACATCACTACAGTGCAAATAGTATCCAATAAACAACAATAATGAAAAGCCAGAATAAAGAAAAATTTTAGAAAAGATAAAAACTGAAAGATTTCTCCGAAAAAACGAAATGTATCTGGGGATACGTAATCAGGAACGTAGCTAGCATATGACTTCACATGTGCTCAAATTGAAAGTATGGAGATAATTATTTAAGAGAAAACGCTTTTTGCATCAGTGGCACTGGAATTCAGGTTCAGTATTACAAGACCCACTATAGATGAATCAAAAGTTAAGATACTAAAGGAGGTGAAGCAAAAACAAGAAGTCAATCAAAAGTTAAGACACTAAAGGAGGTGAAGCAAAGTAACAAGTAGAAGTCACAGGAGAAACATAAAGAAACAAAGTAAGCATCTAGGGTTCACCCCATGAGAGGTAAAGGAAAGGAAAGTATAAAGGAAGAAAAACTCTGTCAGCAGATGGCATAGTGGTTATATGGCTTGACTCCCACATGGTCAAATGGTGTTCAAGTCCTGGACTGGGTGACTTGAAAACTTATGCTAGGTGTGTGTATATCCATGCTCAAGATCCCAGGAGAATGAAGGAGAAGGGATTGCGGCATGGCCATCCCCCTTGGGGAGTAATTTCTCCCTTTCCCTCTCACTGTCTATCTCCCTCCCATCCCCACCCAAGCAAACACACCCTAAGGCAAAAATCTCTAAAAAAAAAAGTTGTTTTTTTTTTTTAATTTAAAAAAAAGAAAGAAAGAAAATACTTCAGGGCCAGCAGATTGTGTAGTGGTTACATCACTATACTCCCACATGGCTGACCATGGTTCAATTCCCAGACCCGGCAGCTTAAAAATCACACCATGCATATGTGCATGGATACCCCAGATCCCAAGAGGAGGATGGAGGAGAAGGGATTGTGGTGTGGCCATCCCCGCTGGAGGGGGTTGATTTCTCACTTTCCCTCTCACTGTCTCTGTCTCTCTCTCTCTCTCCAGTGAGAGCACACATTCTAAAGCCAATGAAAAAAGAAAATTCTTAGCAGATTTTAAAATAATGAATTGCAAAAAAGAAAGAAATAGCAGGTTTTATTTTCAAGCTGTAGTTTTAGTCGCTTTTACTGGCATTATTAGGAAAAAAGAACTATGAGCTAAACTGAACATTCCCTGGGTGGGCACAACCCAGAGGAGGTTGCTTGCTGTGAATAATTTTACTACTGGAAATTTGTCAACCTAAATACAGTATAGAGCATGCTGCTGTTGGCTTAAATTTTTAAAAGCAAAAAAGTGGAACTTCAGTGTTTCCTAGTTGTGGACCAACACTAAGAGACAAAACCTAAGGAGAAAAAAAGTAGCCCTCAAAGGAAAAGAGCATACTGATCCC